CTGATTATGTCCGCCTTGTGTCCCTTGATGAATTCCATCCCCAGCAGTCCGTTTACGGTCAATGGTACCTCGTCTGGTACCACGTAAAACCAGTGTTTCACGTCGACGGCTGGGGTTTCGAGGACAACTTCTGTCTTGCACAAGGGCGTGAATTTTTCACCTCCCACACCCTGTAATTCTATGTCGCTATCTTGGATGACGGTATTCGGCTTCAGGCAGCTCTTTTTGATGATGCTGCACTGCGCTCCGGTGTCGGCCTTCAGCGTCAACACTCCTCCGACTGCGTGAGGCGACGCGATGTCGAAATCGCTTGCGGATGCGGTATTTGAAGGCAAGGTTACCTGAAATAGTTGCATCGTTCGCTTCGGATTTCTTTCCTTTCCCGGGCGAGATTCTCTTGCCTGTTTTCCGGTAAGGAGCGTGTTGAGGCTTAAAGTACCTAAGGTTCGTTGAACGGTATTTTCGCGGCTAGAGGACGTTTGACTAGAATCGGGCGCATTCCGCTTATCGGCAACGTCCTGCCGGGGCGGATCTCGCGTCGATCCATGTTCATTCCCTTGTTTCCTCTTCGCCCTCTTCCGACAGTCTTTCCAAGTGTGACCCTTGAGTTTACAGTATGTGCAGACAACATCGACCTCAACATCGACCTGGTTGATGGCCTTATTTTGTTGTGGTGCCGGTAGGCTGACACGGCTCGACTTACGCCTGCAGTCTCGTGCCATGTGCCCGGCGTTACCACAGTTGTAACAGGTTTTTCCCCCTGCCGCTTGGCCCTGCATGGACCTTTTCGCGTTTTGGGGCTGTCCCGTTGTAGTCCCTTTTGGTTGCACCATCCTGCTAATTTCGATCGCACCAGCAACCGACTCGTGAAGGGTTTCGTAATTTCTTGATCGCACTAAGATCTGCACCTGGCCATTCAGCCCGTTTTCGAAATTTGCTTGTGCGCACTTGCGCGTGACGGTTTTGACCGTTTGCGCATCCCTTTCTGTGGGCACCAGCTCGCACAGTTTTTCCACGAGATCTACTGTTATTTTTTCAACTCTCGTTGCGTACGTGGTGACGTCTTCTCCCGGATTCTGCTTCAGGAAATTGAACTCCATTTGTAGGACAGCCAGCGATTTACGCTGCCCGTACAGAGCCTCTAGTTCGTACTTTAATTCGTCTAGGGCGGTGATAGTTTTGTGCTTCAGCTCCCTTGAGGCTTTTCCATTTAGCTTACCGCTGAGCACCAATTCTAGCAGAAGTTCATGGTCCACTTCGGCAACCCTTCTAAATACGGTTTCGCATGACCTTATGAATCCATCTAATTCGTTTACGTCGCTTCCATCGAAGGTCTTGATGTTTTTCAACGCTAACCCTATAATCTAACCGTTGTAGTCCTACGGTCGAGGGTATGCTTCGTCTTTCTCTTGCGGGTTCCGGCCGCCACCTTAAGCTCGGCCTGGTCCTCAGGTCCCGTTCGGGTTCGAGCCGTTCTAGGCGTCTGGTGAGCGCACTGATCTGGTCTTGTAGGGCGTTTATGAATTCGTACACGTCCGCTCCTACTTCGTTGAGGGTGTGCGCCAAATCTCTTCTCGCGTTCGGAGTATGCTCTGAACGGCGTCTCTGCGACTCAAAGACTTCGTCTTGTCGTCCTTCCCCATCGAGATACGTTCCCAGGTCAGCTGAGTCGTGGTTAGGCGTCCGTATGGGTCGTCTGTCGCGACTCATAGGTGCTGCATTAGGGGAAAGGCCTCGAGCCATGGTTACTGCATTTACGGGGTCTGAGACGGCAGTCCGCCCGCGTAGACGCGCGATTTCCTCGTTCACCATGGAATCTGATACTCCCGCAGGAGGAGTCTGTCTTCCGGAGGCCATATCGCCCAGCCGGTCCAAGAGAGTGTCGTCGTACTCGTCGAAGGCCGATCCCCTTCTCGAGACTACCCCGAATTGCGCGTTTAGGCTACCCGAGATAGCCGCCTGTCGACCCGCGTGTAGACGTCCTGACGGCGAGAGAGTTTGTAGTGCTCTCCTAGCTCTAAAGGTTATATCTCCGACCGCGGCTTCTAATTCGGCTACGGCGTTAACGTTTTCCCTATCCAAAGGTGATTCCAACGAGCCTCCCTTGCGTAAGGGGCGCGGATTAGTATCGCCCGGCATGTGCTGACTCGCGCGGAGGGAGTCAGGATTTTACCGCGACTAGCTATTTAGGGACAACTATCGATGAGAACAATTCCGACTAGATTACCTATTGGCTTTGAAAATTTTATAAGCTTTTTAAATTGGTAACCACCACTTACAGGATGATGCTCCACTCCATGGCGTTGACACTTCAGGATGGCGTTGGTAGCTGTCGTTGATCAACTCGTACTTGTCTTGATCCCGGTAGCGGCGATGTCTGGATCCCGCTGTCAGTCGTGGACGTCCTTCCGGGCGTCGTTGACCCTTGGTGTGGTCTCGTGTGTCGGCAACGTTTGCGCGACTACTCTTTGCAAATACGCTTACCGCGTAGCGTTTTGCCATCCGTTCCTCGCCGTTTCTTGTCGAGCCTGACCTTGTTTCTGATTCAACTACCGCGTGTTGAATCCTACCAGGCTATTTGTCCCAACGAGTGTGTGTCGGGTTCAGCTCTGGGTTTCGTTTACCGTTTCCGGTTAATTCCCGTTCGGGCTGCTTGATCACTTCAGACACTTCCGATTCGCTAATTCACTTTGGCAATATCCCACCGCTGCCACCAAATTTTTTGTGCCGTAACGTCTCGGTGACGAAGGAGTTCGTTCGAGAGGTTAGGGCTAAGGTAATTTTTGGGATCGTTGCCGGTTAAGGAGTTGGAACTCGCGTGAATACAACAAAACAGAGAAGGTTTATTAAAACGATCAAGAATGTTGTATAGTAGGTCGACGTACGCGGACTTCGAAAATATAGGCACCGTTCGGTCCTCCTATTTCCTGTACCGAGTCTACTCCACGAGACCACCTTATCCGTTCGGATTTTAATTGTAGACTGTCGGTTTTCGGACGTGCAGCCATAAGCTGGACTTCCGAAAAATGATTATTGTGCGATTTTTAGATTTCCACATATTGGTTGCCAGGCCGCCTTTAGTTCTGACTTAGCGCAATGCTACACGCGTGAACTACTTGGCCTGGCGTTTCTCAATGGGGTCAGGAGACTCCCAGCACAACAACATTCTTGGCAAATACTAACACTTAGCAGCATTAAAATATGCATCCACCATATATTAAGCCATCCGATTCAGCAGATAGCCATAGCGCTGACGGATATCGCAATGTAACCTCTTATTGCAATATAGCGCGACTCAGAATATCAACCAGGAAGCTGTTGGAGGCAATAAATTTGGTTCATTAGCAAGCAACATAGTATTGTCAAATTGAAGTGGAACATTTGAATTTTTTGGTATTTCTGGGAAATTTTGACCGATTTTGAAAAACCAAAGATATGTTTGTATTAAATACATATATATAGTTGTATTAAATCCTCCCCTGTAGTTTGTCTAATTTAAGTCACAGCGACTTTACAAACATGATAAATTTGAGGACTCCCATTTTCTCGACCTACTCGACAGTGAGTAGTCGGCGACATAGCGACCATCAAGATATTATTTGCATCTCAGCGGTATCCTATCCTCATAACAGAGAGATGAACTTTAATCGTGAACTGCAATACTGATTGCTGGTATAGCATCCGAATATCATGTCATGCAGATAAGTGCTCAACAATTAACAGTTAACTATAAATAGAATTACGCTGTTAAATCGCATAGAATCACAGAGTAGTATTATGAAACGCAATTCAATAATTGAAATATATTAATTGAGCAGTTAGAATAAATTTTGTATAATTTTTATATTGCAAACGCGAGTCTAAACTTTGTCGACAGGCCCAGTGCACAAACTTCCTAAATTTGCGATCCTCCGGCAATCATTTCTACCGCCAAATCGCAAATCGTTGCAAAATATAAATGAATGTCGGTTCGAGAGGGTCATTCTCAACTGCTTAATACATAGCGCACAGGTTGGCGAAAAGATAAACACGAGCATGCACACCTCAGAAATAGGTTGGCTTTCGTAATAACAATATGTACTATTTTATTCATCGGGGATTTTAAACAAAACACAGCACACTCTACTGGGCTTAAACGAAAACGGAGGCGTACAAGCGATTCGTTACGGCTTGTCACGACACGGGTCTCCAGTTCATTCCCATCTCGACACCCAACATCCATGCGTCGCTAAAACCCTCGATGTGTTTGTCCTTCTGGCTTTCGCCACCGTTTATTTTAAATGCCGTCGAGTTAGCGGCAAACATGAATAATAACTATCCTTTTTGCATGTCTTCGATCGCGCCGCTATATGTATAAAACATCATTGGGGGAGATTTTTATTTATACGCAAAGCAATGTTCAAGAATTTCGACACCTCGGGCTCTGGCACTGACACCTGGCTCTCTAGAAAATGTTCATAATTAAAATTTTGTAAGGAACTGTTGAATTTTTTAAATGTTTATATAATAACTCTAAACTTGCAGGAAAGTCACTGTTGTGGATTACCAAGGTGCATGCTTTCCTCAACGATCCCATATTTCATCAGCAACAAAAACAATGTCAAAATCTATTGTGAGAAGTATTACATCACTTGGAACTTTTCTCTGGAGCCTCATTATACAACTACATGTATTCCAATTATGGGAACCAGTATGGGCTTATGGAAGTGAAAATGAGCCAGATGGTAAGTTAATGTTAAAATTACTAATAATTAATCCGCCATCCAGCTTTCCCGAACTATTCCGGATGAAGATTATCACCAGAGTATCCTGGACAGTCCAAAGCTACGGCAGCAAGTATGTGACATTTTGAAGATCTCGGATCAACTGATTAGACGTGACATCATGCCGCCGGTTAGACTGCCAAAGGGATTTGCCTATTTAGGTTTTTAGCCGAGTAGCATAACTGTGCCGGTTCTGGATCAAGATTCCTGTAACCGACATTTACCGACATTCAAAAGATTATGAAGATAGATGTCCGTGTTGTCATCGTGAGCTCTACGATTTTCGGAAGTGACGTTACCGAGACCCCTATTTTCTAAGAATTTATGGGGGATTCTAGGAATAATACATAATCGAGAACTTTCTAGAAACTTCGACGGTTCGTGCCCGTGCTAAGTTGCTGAAGATCGCTCCTAGAGACGATGATCCTCTCGACATTTTGATGCAACCCCTTGCCCCCCACCCTCCGGAGAAGCTTCTAAAAGCTTCGATGAACCCCCTTCCTCTCTCCCCGACCTGTGTAGATTTCAGATAGCAGTCTTCAGGAGGCTAATTTAACCTTGAACGTTAGTAGTTTTAGGCCACTCCTGGCCGTCGTAACAAACCCCCACCACTGATCCTGTGAGCCATAGAGTGGACCGCGCTTCGGACTGCCACACCACACTATGGCATCACACTCTCACCCATGTGCCCGGATCACCAACCTGCGCCCCAGATGTCCCTCCCACGACCTCGCCATGTAGTGGTTCCTCGCAATACGGTTCTAAGGCCTGAAACCCCAGCACCAGCGGTACTGGATGTCCCAGGGGTCTATCACGGTCGCTAGTTATGCAGTGATCCCCGGTCGGTAATTTTTTAATTACCCTAAGGAGGTAGTATGGTAAAGTGGAACACAGTATTTTGTAAGAAATACCTTATATTATAGAAGTACCGCACGTATTGCCTTTTTTTAGATACTTTTAGCTATTGATGTGGAGGTATCCAACCCCCTGATATTTTGCTCGGGGTGAATCTTCCGCATTTTGTGTAGCTGTTGGAAGCCTGGTACCCTTTTTTTGGGCAATTTAGCGAACAATGCGCAAATACACCCGGCGTGGGGGTACCATTGTCTTGGCCGCGTACACTGCTACATGTATCTCTTATTTGCAACTATGCAAAAAATTATGATCATGGTAGGGAAAAAGACGGTACCCCATGAACCATCCTTGCAACATCTTGCCAGTACCTTGGTTACAAGCGATAGAAGCGACAATAAAAAAAGAAGTAATAGTGAAAGCGTAGTGAAAAGAGTTGAATGCGCATACCCCAAGCGCATTATTTAAAAAGTGGTATGTATAAGAACGTTAAGCTCGTACTCGTTTTTATTTGATTTAAACAAAATTTGTTGTATATCTGTCATCTTTTCTCTTATTTCTAGACGATCCGTCAGTCTGTCTAGCACCACAACATCAGGCAGGATATAAGAAACAAAGTGGTACGTATAACAGCGTTAAGCTAGTACACGTTTTCATTTAATTAAAAAAAATGTATTGTGTATTTGTCACCTTTTACCCTTATTTCCAGACGCTGCAAAACAGGACAAGCACGGTAGCACCATCACCAGCCGTCAGACTAGCGCCGGCTGTTACTGGAGCGGTAAGGGTATTAGTTTTAAGCCTGCACCGGTTTTTATTTGATTGAAACAGATTTATTAAAAATTCCGAAATATTACAGATTATGCCGTCAAGGAGGCCCAACACACCGCCCGAGGGTGTCGAGGGGCCATGTGAGGGGCCCCTACTCGACGGAATTCGCCCACTATTGAATGAGTTTTTCGCACCCCCCCCCCCC